GAACTTCTCCCCCTCCCTCCCTCCTTCCCTCCCTCCCTCCCTCTCCTCGGTTACACCTAGATTTGTCGAGGGCGCGCGCAGAACCCAATCTCTGTAATCAAGCGCACATTTTGGCAAAGGGAGAACACCAATAAAAATGAACATTCAACACAAATTACATTGCTGATGGCGTTACAGATATTAGTGGGGAGATTTCCCCTCCCCGCTCGCTTTTTCTCCCTCTGTCTCTCTCGCTCGCTTCCAGGCACCGGAGAGCAGCTCGCTTGCCGAGGGCTGGAGACCCCAGACGGCTCCCCAGAAGGAGCCCCCTCCCAGTCCCAAACTCCCCCGGGATGCCTGAAGCCTCCCCCCCCCCGTCCAGCCAGCCTCCTTTCCTTGCCCCTTCTTCTCCTGGCCTGGAAGACCGCGCCCCACCCGCCCTAGATCCAGCTCCGGACAGAAGGAGGGATGTCGTTCTCCTGTCCCCCCGCCCGACCTGGCGATCGAGCCCGGAGCGCGTAAGTGACCGTCCCCGAGCGCGGTTGGGAAGAGGCGCTTCGGAGGGAGATTTCAAGGGGGGGGGGGTGTCCCCGTAGACGGTCTGTCCTCTACCTCCCTCCTTCAATGTAACACTTGTGTGAAGTCTCAATTTGTCCAGGATGGGAGGGAAAGTTTGAGCCTCGTCAACATCTGGGAGGCAGAGAATTGGCTGGAGAGACACCCCTTGGAGGAGGTGAAGGGAGCCCGACCCTGCTCCGGATCCCCCAGGGTGGTGGGCATTTATTGCTAATCAGGATTGGTTTCTGGTCGGTGGTTGGAAAGAAACGGTCTGCGAAGCGTCCGGTGGCGCGCCGGGGAAACTAAGCGGGCATGTTTACGCCGAGGGAGTTCTTCTGTCCCGTGTTCCACCCCCACCCCCACCCCCACCCCAAGTCCCCGTGGTAGGATTGCACTGAGAGGCCCGCGCAGGCGCAGGCCAGATCCGGGGCTTGCAGGGAAGTTCGCCCCATCAGTTCGTCAGGGAAGCGTGAGGAGGATTCTGGGCCGGGACACTGCCCGATCCCCAGTCCGGTCAAGCCGGCTTCGCTTCGCTTCTCTTGTGCCTCGAGCAGCGAGACTGACTTCTGAGTCAAGAGAATCGGGCTGGAAACCCCGGCTACAGAGTCCGGGTTTGATCTGGCCGGTGGGTCTGGTGGTGGTTGCTCTGTTGCACGTGCCAAAGTACTTCTGGGGGGCTCCTGAGAAATCGGCCCTTGTGGGACGCG